ATGACCTAGATTCTGCAGAGCAGAATCCTCTGTCCATAGCGAATGCCCTGCGGGCGGGGTTGCTCCAGCTGGTTTACTCCTTGCACACCAGCGCCAGTAGATTTTTGTGGACCCCCTCTTAGGCTCTGGGGATGGGGCCAAAAATATGGGGGTCAGTGTGTGGGAGGGGGCTTCTTGGAAGCAGGCTTGGGGGGTGGGTTCTGGGAGGGTGCAGGAGAGGGCTGAAGATTGTGGGGGCGGTCTGAGTAGGAGGGTAGGGTGCAGGAGCAAAGAGGGTGGGGAGGCTGGGCAGCAGGGGGGTGCAGAGCGGGCTGGGGGTAGGAGGCCTAGGCAATAGAGGGGGCTTAGCAGCTGCAGCTCCCCAGGGGCACACACAGCTCCATGTCCCCCACCACTCCCAGGCGCTACCTCCTGCTGCTCCAATTGCCCACAATTCTGACCAATTGGCACAGCAGGAGAAAAGCCTTTAGGCATCCCCAGCTGGGGGGGGAGTGGCAGCACAAGGAGTCACTTCCTCCCCCCGCCAGGCACAGCCCACAGGTCCAATCTGGCCCCAGCTTGCCCGACTCCAGCCTGTAAGGCCCGGGGGGGCCAGAGGGGCAGTAGGGCTGGAGCGCCTGTGCCAGCTCCTGGATGCTGGGGGGCAAAGCCTTGAGCTTCGGGGCCAGATCTAGGTCAGTCGCGCCCTCCCCCACCCCGGATCCACATGTAGAGGGCCTTAAGGTGTGTGGAGGGCCAAGGGGTGGGGGGAGGGCTCCGTGTGGGACAGTCTTGCGCTGGGTTCCAGGTGCAGGGAGAAGGGGACTCTGGAAGGGCCGAGTGAGCAGGGGGCTGTGTGTGGGGTGAGGGGCCAAGCAGAGGAGCTCTGGGTGCCGGTGGCTTAGTGCCAGGGGTGGTTTCCAGGAGCTGGAGGAGTGGGATGTGGTAGGAAGTGGCCTGGGGCAGCTGATTGGGGCTCAGTGGGGCAGGGGTCCAGATGCAGGAGGTGAACAGCAGCTGTAGCCTGGCTGCCTGGCAACCGTGTCCCCAGCCTGGTGGCTCCCCAGGTACGCTGCGATAACAAGGGAGGCGGGCAGAGGGAGCCCAGCCCTGGCCCCTGAGGCGGTGAATTGTCTTCCCCAGCTGCTCCAGACGGCCCCACTGCACCGCTGCC